CTTAAGTCCACCCCAAATTAAACCTAACTTAATTTAAACTCAACTCAAGTCTAACCCATGTAGAATTGACTTAACCAAACCCTAAATCTAAACTTAGTTCAAGTCTAACCTAACTTAGACTTAACTAAACCTAAACGTAGTACAAGTCTAACTTAACTTAGACTTGATTTAACCAAATTCTAAACTTAACTCAAACCGGACTCAAATCAAATCAAACTTAAACAAATTTGGGTCAAACCGGCCTAACCTAGACTAACCCAAAATTAAACTTAAACCAACCTGGATCAAACCGATCTAATCTGAGCTAACTCAAAATTAAACTTAATCTAATATGAGGCAACCGGTCCTAACCCGGGCTAATCAAAATCAACTTAAATCCAACTTGTGCTAACACATATCAACTTAAGCTAATTCAGGCTAACTTAATTTAACCTTAACCAAACTTAAAATTGACAACAACTCAATTAAATAAACTAAGTTAAGGAGTGTTTGACCTCTTATAAGAGAATAAAAACACACTTGACTTAAAAACACACCCAGCATATTATGGGTTGAAATGCAAATTTTGTAATGAACATAAAAGATATAACATAAAACAAACCCTAAAAATCATTAAAACTTAAACTTCAACTATAAAACACAATCTGGTTTGAGAAGTAAATTTGGAGGAGGTAACTTATGCTGCTAACGAAGTACCTTTCAGTCACTCGTGACTAATCAAACCATAAACCTAATGATCCCAGGAGGGCAGAATTATGGGATTTTATCTGGTTCATTTCAACAATAAAAAATAAAATAAAAATAAAATCACAAAAATTTAATTGGCGAAGAAGTTTTAAGCAACCAAAAATTTTTAAGCCCCTAAAATCTGAAAATGACACCAAAAATTAAATGAAACCCTAATGAACAAATATCACTGAACGCAACTTTAACCCTATTACCCAAATCTATGAAGATCTCTTCGATGACACAACTCATGGTTGTTGAAAAGAATTTTCCTGTTGGAGTTGGTTTGACCGTCTCCTATAATAAGTAGATCAGAGAACCCTTTGACCCTGAGATGACAGAAAGACATGGGCATCTTGACTGAGTTGTTATAAATAAAAGAATAATAGTTAACACTTTAATAATTAAAAATAAACACGTTCATTTCTCTTACAATGAAGGATTTTAACTCTATTTTGCAGGGCTGCTAAAGATAAACTACAAAATGCTGCCTTAGATTTACTTTACATGTTATTAGAGTGTGCTAACTCTGTTTTGCAAGGATTTTATAAATAAATAAGCTCATTTTGTAACCTATGACATTACCTTTTAGCCTTCTTTTCTTTTATATAATTAGGTAGTGCTATGGTCAATTTACTATAAGCATCTGAATTATCTAAAAGAAGACGAAACAAACGAAGGATGAACCTCAACTGAACCATCAACACTAGTTTGGATGATGTCACTTGACAAGTTTGACTTAAGTTAGGATTGGTGCCCATAATGTCAGTTTGTCTGTATTCATTTGATAGGTCTACCCAAATTATAGGTCTATATTTACATTTCCGCTTTTTACCAAGATTCTCGGTAGACTCACTTGAGGACTAAACCTTCTACCTTAACCTAAACAACTTCAACTTAATTTTTCAAAATAAAACTCATAACCAAAATTAAATCATATAAATTACTGCATTCACAACTATAGAAATATCATACATCTAAACAACCTCAATTGACACCAAATAAAATTGAGTAGAAACTCATTTTCAAATTAGGAATATTAACGATAACATGATCTATAGCATATGCATAACATATTGCTCATATTCCTTATCTTCAGGCCCTCACTCTTGCACAGAATGGGGTAGTTTCACTTGCGAGAACTACTTCCTTACAAAGTGAGTTCTGCTTATGCATACCAATTGGGCTTTAAATAGACCTTCTAAGCATTCACCATCAAGGACTTGAATAACCCATTACATAGCTTACTTTGGTGCACTCATCACTAAATAAAACTAAACTTTTGAGTGTGGCGAGGTACAAAACATTTAAATTTGAAATTTCAAAAAATGTCCGTCTTAGTCTTAGGGCATTATGCATACTATACATATCTAGGCAACTTTATTTATAATCAAGTTGTAAAGCATACTACTCCTAATGAATAACAACCTATCCTTTCTCATATCATCAAGACCGACCATGCATGATTTTGAATGTGATTAGGTGATTTTGATGGCAGCCCTTTCCAGGTAGGGTTGTGAGTCCATTGCATTCCATGTTTCCCTTTTTTAGGTTAGGGTTTCAAAGTTTTATTTCTCTCGGTGAACTTCACCCTAGGACTCTGAGATCGCTCGTCTAGTAACGACTTAAGTCCTCGTCTTTAGGCTCCTGCATGATTGTATGTTGTGTAATATAAGTCTTAACATTCTAGCAAAACAACAGGATGAAACATTAAATTTTTCTTCAAAAATGCCAAATGCAAAAAAAAAAAAAGGATAGTCTAAGATACTATTAAGAAGATACTATTAAGTTTTCCTCCATATCTTCGAGTGTTCCTTACCTTTTCTTCTTTTGGATTCCGTTAACAACTGTTCAACATTTGAGCCTTTCTCATTTGGAAATCTAATATCCAATTGTGGAAGTCTAAAACTAGAAATTTCCGGAGGACAAAACAACATCCTTAATTTAGAGTTTTTTAAGTGATTTCAGTTGCTTGAGATGTAATTAACTATAGAGACTTGTCTTTGCAAGAAGAAGAAGACCTCAGAACTAGTATAAATCCTATTTAGTCTTCATATTAGATAGGGGAAATGAACTATCGGGTTTAATTGCAGACCAATGCAGATATCCAATTTTCTCTTAGTTTGAATAATCAAGCCCACTGTAAAAGTTGTATTTCTTCCTTTTAAGCTTGATTATTTGAATTATCAAAATCTTCGAATCAAAACGACATCCAAAAGGCAAGTGTCGGTGCGAAAATAAAACCCGATAGGAATAACGACTGATTAATAATACAAAGTATAGCAATTGTATAGCCTTCTTTATGATATTACAAGGGAGTTTGTCAAAAAAGGGTTGAACTTGGCTTATTCATCTCAAATTTTTGGGAATTGAAATTGGACAATATGTTGAGGTAATTGTAATGATAAGTTGGATTATTTAGCATTATTTTTATGCTAATTTGAGCTCATTAAAATTATGAAATAATCTTTTAGACTAATTTGAATAACACTTTTGATAATATTGACTTTAGTATTAGTTCATCTTGTTGAAAGCATATTCAATTATACGAGATTTTTTGTGCCCGAAAATTTTAAAGGAGCATTTACCTTTGATAATTTAGCATGTAATATATACCTGTTCGTTTATCAATCTATTAAAGATTATATATATATATATATATATATAATGAATAAAAGAGGAAATAGGGTTGCTCTCACTTAAATAATCTTTAAAGGATTGATAGACGAACAATTATATATTTTATAACATCCTTTGTTGTTATTTTGTAATCTAGCCTGGAAAAAAGCCTACATTATATAGAAAGAAATAATTATAGTTGGTTTTATGCCCCAAGCTATAAATCCTAAATTTTAAGAGGATGTATGGTAGAATATTTTTTTTAGGATTTAGTCATTAATTTAGCTTAAATTCTACAAAATACTAAAAGGATAAAAATTAAATCCAATTTTCCATTAAATGAAATTTCTTTACGTTTCGACTTTAAATGTCGCATTCCATCTCTTCTGCAAAGTAAACTTGGATTTAATAAATCTAATTTGAGAGACAGATTATATATTTTATTCTGCCGTCCCTGACAAGGTTCTTCGCTGCTTAACGTAAATCCATATTGCAACCAAACACCGCCTAAACCTTACATAAATAGAGATATTTGACTTGGCATTATGAAAATAATGCCTTGTAAATCAAATTTATGCACTGCATCAAATATAATCGAGTAAGTAGATGAAAATTTCTTAGACATATTCATAAATTATGGGGGCAGTAAAGAGAGCAAGCGTTATTGGAATGTTATGAAATTACCATACCATTCACTATTTTGATCAAAATGTAATTAGAATTAAATTTTAAAATTTTAATTTTATTTTAAGATGTGCACAGTAAAATAATAAATTCTATTATTTTCTTTTATGCAAAACACTTTAAATTTAAATAAAATATTAATAACAAATTTTTGTTAAAGATAAGCTTATCATTTTCTTTCTAAATATATTAAATTTAACCGTCATTTACTGATCACCTTAATTAGACCATTAACAGCAAAATCTAAAGGATTTATAGAAGATGATTGTATCTAATAAATATTCTAAAAAAAAATCCCAAACATTTCTATTTTCAAATCAAGCAACATCTTCCATCTATTTTTCAAATTCTGACTAAAATATTAAAGGTCAGGTCATGATGAAATCTCAATTCATATTTTTTTATTTTTATCAAATTCATAATAATTTGATAATGACACATACTTAGGCGGTGTTTGGCTGCATCAAGAACTTATGTTAAGCAGAATTTACTAAATTCAGATTTATCAAATCAATTTTTTATGATGGGAAGCTTCAAAGCTACGGACTATAAATTCATCAGCGACTCAAATTTAATAAATTCGTAATAACGTGAACAAGAAGACAAAATGCGGGAAAAATTAGATAGAACACGAGAAAAATAAATTTAAAGAAGTGTTATATTTAAAATTTAGTTTTTGATATTTTGTTGGATTTAAGTTAAATTCGTTGTTAAATCTATCTATTAACAAGCTATTGAACACAACCTTAATTTGTAAATAGTAATTTTCTTGTGCTTATTACAATAAGAAAAAAAAGGAAACAGGGAGACGAGGGCAATAATAGTCTTCAACCCTGCATTCTGGTCCTTTCCAATGCACCGATTCTATTCTAGCTTTGAACGTCTTTCCATTGGAAGTCGGTGTCCAATTTTCTTGTGCTTATTCCAATAAGAAAAAAAAGGAAACAGGGAGACGAGGGCAATAATAGTCTTCAACCCTGCATTCTGGTCCTTTCCAATGCACCGATTCTATTCTAGCTTTGAACGTCTTTCCATTGGAAGTCGGTGTCCATCTACACGCTGTTTACAGTTCTCTTCTTCCCGCGTGGAAGAAGGGATCTCACGTACGACACTGCTTCTCTCTAGAAGGTAAACTTTTTCACAATCTTCAAGTCCGATCTCTTCAGTTTCCTTTCACATCTCGTCATTCTCCAACCGCTTAGACTAGCATACTCTGTAACCCTTTCTTCTGGCAAGTTTTGATTTCATTATCTCCATATCTTTCTGGATTTAGGTCGGATTCTGCTGGTTTGCTCTTCGATTTTGTTTTTCTTAAATTTTTTAGGGGTTTTATGGCTGAAAGCACTTGGCGGAAAATCTGCTAGTTTGGTAATTTGGTGCGGATGAGGTTTTGATGACGGAAGGTTTCACATCTTTGTAGGTTAGGTTTGCTATCTGGAAGGAACAGCGGCTAGATCATGGCGACCGGTGCGGCGTGTGCGGAGAGAGCGACGAGCGACATGCTAATTGGCCCTGATTGGGCGGTAAATATTGAGCTGTGCGATATTATAAACGCGGATCCGGGGTACTGCTCGTGCCATATACTGCTGTTTTCTATTTTTTTAATTTTTAATTTTTTGTTTGTGAAACTTGATGTTGGTTTCTAATTTTCTGCCATCGCCTTTCAATTTATTTTCTCATTCTCTGTGCTGGAGCATTTTTTTGTCTTGGTTTAGGAACAGAAAGAAGATTAAAAAGTTGAATGTTGAGCAAACTGCTTCTGATGTGAAATTATAAACATTTTCCATTCGTCTTTGAATGTTGTAATTAACCTGAAAGTGTCTTTTTAAAGCAAAATGTCTATTGGATTTGTGACCATGGCCGGCGTTTGAATTCTTTGTAAATTGATTATAATGCCAAATGTTGTCCATCCTTTATATCTCCTCAGCATTTTTTTCATTTTAGGAATCTCTTAAAAAAAATAATAAATATTTTTTTCATCATATCTATATTATAAAAGTTTGAAACCAACTTGAACATGCTTCTGAGTTCTGAAATGTTTAAAAAATGCACCATTATTATTGAGATATAATAAGAGTTTTTCAGTCTAAGCTTAACCATATGATCATCATTATTTTTTATTTATTTAGGTTTTGCTTATAACATTCTTAGAAATTGTTTGATGATGTGTTGCTTGTAAAAAATATGCAATTATGAATTTAATTTCATAAGAAAGGGACCACTAAAGTTCTCAATTTATGCATACAAGCCTACCACAACTTTATGATAGTGGAGAACACTTGTAGCGCATATTGTCCGTATGTGAGAGCAGCAAGTTTGTCTTATGCATCACACAAAAAACATGGTTTACCAATTGGAGCCTTAGTTTATGTTCTATGAAACTCATTTGTTTATATGGTTGTTCATACCCATGCCTTATATAGTAGTTCTGATCTCCAGTTGCAATTTATTGTTTCATTTTATGAATTGTGTTGTTTTACCTGACTAAATTGCATCTTGTTGTATGAGAATCTTGACAGATGTGGGTCTAGCTGTTACTAGGCCTCACATCTGTTATAAGCCAGAAGGTTGTTTTTTTGTTTATTTTAGTGAAATTCTTGACCTTCTCAATGGGAGCAACCTAACTATTGCACAAATGTACTTATTCATGGACTGAGAATCTTAATCAAGAAGCTTGCATGAGAGATTGGTTACATTTTGCCAATTGATTAGCGTGCAAAAGAGGTGATGGGATTTTCATCATAAATAGAAAGTTTAGGTGCCAGTTGTGTTTGATAGAAAGTTTGGTATGCTCTTGCTTGTCTTCCTCACAATCACCATGGCTAGGTGGTTGGAATGGTTATTTTTACCAAAATTATAGGTAAGTAGGCTTGCTAAAATCTGCAAGGTGGGATGGTAAATAAAGAACTTATTTAATCATTTTCATGTTTAGCTATTTTAAAATAGCGATTGTTATTGCATCAAATTAATGTATTATATTGTATATGGGTTTCCCATTCGCTAATTTCAAAATTATAGGTTTATATTGTATATGATTGCATGTGGTAAAGACAAGAGTTTCCCTCTTGGTTAATTATGTGTTTCTCATTGGCTTTTCAGGCCATTTCTAGAGAGTTCCATCGCTTTCTTAAGCGATGAAAGAACTTTTCATGGTCCTCTTTCTAATATAATGCTCTTGAAATAGCTATTTATGGTCCCCCTTTTGATATCATGGTCTTGATTTGTTCTCAATACATTTCATGCTTTATTGCTAGGATGGATAGAAACATCGCTTTTTATCCATCTTTTGTTGTTATGATTTTCTTTAAATTGTCTTAGATGTTATCCATGATTTTATTTCGACTTGTTTTACGCTGGCTGTTGACTACCTAACACAATGACAATGTTAATGCCAAGTAGATCTACTTTGGATAATCAATTTGGATTTATGCCAGACAGGTTTACCATGGAAGATATACATTTATTGAGAGGTTTGATGGAGAAGTTTAGTGATAACAAGGAGGATCTACATTTGATTTTTATTGATTTAGAAAAAGTTTACCATAAGGTTTCAAGAGATATCTTTTGGAGAGTTCTTGAGAACAAAAGGTGTTGATATGACTTATATTCAAGTCATTAAAGATATGTATACTAGAGCTGTTACTTGTGTTCGAACTGAAGGGGGATTGATCAATTATTTTCCTATTTCTGTTGGATTACATTAGTGATCGGCTTTAAGCACATATCTTTTTGCTTTAGTTATGGATGGTCTTACTGAACATTTACTGGAGGATGTTCGTTGGTGTATGCTTTTTGTTGATGATATTCCTTGTCGTGGATAAGACGAAAGAAAAAAACCTAGAAAAAACTTGAATTATGGAGGTCTACATTGGACTCTACAGGCCTTCATTTGAGTAGAACTAAAACTGAATACATGGAATGTAATTTTAGTAGTAGTAGCTCTAGTGACAGAAGTGTAACTTTGGGTGATCAAATTATTAAAAGGTGTGAACGATTTAGATATCTTAGGTTTGTTGTTCAATACGATGGTGATATAGATGGGGATGTTAATAGTAGAATTCAAGTTGTTTGGTTGAAGTGGAGGAATGTTTCGAGCCTTTTGTGTGATAGAAAAACACTGCTTGGACTAAAAGGAAAATTTATAAGATGGTGGTGAGACCTGCAATGCTCTATGGCGCTGAATGTTGGCCTTCAAAAGAAGCATAATACTAAGTTAAGTGTTGCCGAGATGAGAATGATTAGGTGAATGAGTGGCTTTACACTTAGAGGAAAAATGTGAAATGAATATCTCCGTGATAGGATTGGTGTAGCTCCGGTGACGGACAAAATTAGAGAGAGTCGTCTTAGATGGTTTGGTCACATTAAACGTCGACCATCTAATGATCCGTTTAGGAGAGTAGATGTTTTAGATTCAACTTATGTTTAGAAAAGCAGAGGTAGACCTAGGAAAACTTGGGCTTATTGTATAAAAAAATGATCTTATTTTATTAGAACTAAATGAAAATATGACACTACATAGGATGCAATGGAGAAAGGAGGATCATGTAGATGACCCCTGTAGTGGGTTTAAGGCTTTGTTGTCGTCGTCGTCTTCGTCTTATATGTTATCCAAACGTTTTATGTGTGTGTTGGTCATGATTTTTGCTCTCAATTTGGTGAGAATTTTTTCCAATCATCGAAATTTATTTTTTATGAAATATAAATTTTGTTAACTTTTCATAATGCGGTTCATTGATTTTGATATAGAAAATGGCTATCATCTTGCATGTGACATGTATGATTCCCCGTCAATTTTAGTGTCACTAATTCCCTTTTTGCATTCATTATCCAGCAATCTTACTTGATTGATTTCTTATTAAGAAATATGGATTTTTATTTTACTTCTGATAATGTGATTCGTTGATTCCAATGTAGAAAGGATAATTATCTTGCATGTAATATGTTATATTTCTTGCTAATTTTATGGTCACTAGCTCGTATTTGCATCCATTGTCTGTTTATCTTGCTTGCTTGATTGAATCCAAGGTACTCAATTTTCTATTTTATAAGAATATTGCTATTGAAAAAAAAAAGTAAAAAAAGTAACTAATTTTTTTTGCTTAGCAGGTTAAATCTTCTTTTAAATCATTAACCCCCTTTCAATTATTCTTTTCTCCCACTCAAAATCACAACACATGCAAAAGTTGAACATGTCAGCCACAACAACAACATTATAATTACCTTAATGCACGAGGCAATTAAGCTATGATCATGCATTTTAGATATTCCAATAACAATGCTCCATTATGCAGCCATGGGGTCTAAATTTAGTCTCCTCTCATTTATACACACTCAGTGTGGCACTCCCTCACTCTATGCTGTTTACCCCATCTCTCTCTCTCTGTCTCTCTCTCTCCTGAAATTGCAACAACCATATGCTCTAATAATGCCTTATCTACTGACATTTCCCTCTGCTATATTTCACTGCTCTTACTTCCTAGTGTTGAACCATCTCCCAGTTCTCCAGTAAAGCCTTGTGCCACTGTTCTCTACCTCCCAACAATGCTTCTTTGTCTAGTTTTTCCATAAACCCTTGTGCTTGCTGCTCTGCTTTTTCGCGTTACTCTCTCTGTTAGCCCTATCTCTTTACTTCCCTAAAGACATCTCTTGCATTCTTTGCACAATTCATTTCCAACAATCATGCCTTAAAAAGATCCATTTCTATGTGAGAACAAGCTTCACCTCCTTGAGTTCAACTACCAATCAATGATCTCATGTCTTGCGACTTCTTTGTATTTTACATTTATAATTCTCATTCTTCTCTCCTTGAACAATTTTATTGCACACGAATGCATGGATAGGAAATTTAAAAGGTTGATCTGTTGTCAGGTTTGTCTGATTACTGCAGATCTTTGATTTTACTAGTCTCAATACTCGTGACTCTTATCTTTGATTTGACTAAGATCAACTACCACTTCTGCATATTTGATATTTAATCCTGTTGGGGTTTGATGACCTTTGTGCAAGTGATCTTTGATTTGATTGGAATTTTACCTCTCTTTGTAGATCTTTGATCCAGATTTGATGAGTGACATCTTTTTATTTGGGGTTGCATCTGACCAAATATCTAGTAATGGCCACTGAAATACCGTAGAATGGTGGTAATCATGGTCGCTTTGTGGTTCATTTTTCACTATCTTATTCAATCTCTCTCCATGGCTGCCAAAAATTAGTTGTATGTCTCCATTGTCATTTCAAGGATGAGCGAGCAAGAAACTAAACATCCATGTGAGCTAAGGAGCGAAAGAGAAGCTTTGACATTATGATATTCCTTTTGTATCATTTTTTAATGAACACAATGGTAGTGTATTTTAACACATATTCAAGGCGATGATACATCAAAACAAAAGGGAATCATTCTAAGTAATTTATTGCGATGATAAAAATGAGGAGCATTGCATTAAATTAATTTAAATGATTTATAAAGTTGAGGATTCAAAAATTCTCTTAAATAGGTTTCTATCATCTATGATTATTAAAATTCTCTTCAAAATCAATAACGAAATATTGTTTGTCACAAGGCAT